TATATAAATTATATAAATTTCATTTCGTTCGGGGGGGGGGGGGGCAGACATGCCCATTCAGCTACACGGTAGACCTACATTCAAGAAACGAGCAAATTCACGTATCTGGTGTGTTCAAGAGGGGGAGGGGGAGCAGACGAGGACCTAAACAGCCGTATCAACAAGACCCAGAGGCGTAGCGACCCTTCCCGGCGCCCGGGGACAAACTTTCAATTTGGCGCACCCCTCGGGAGCAAATTTTCAATTTGCACCCCCCCCCTCAACTTTTTTGATTTGCACCCCCGTTAAACTGAAAAAATGCAGCTAAATTGACATTTTAATTTATTTTTACAACCCGGGGACATATGTCCCCCCCCCATCGCTACGCCTCTGACAAGGCCAGCTGTGCCTTCAACTCGAGAACTACTCCCGTTATGTAATTGCACAGCATTGACACTCCAGAGCAAGATACGAATCATCAAGGCAGCATTGTTAATTTTTATGGTCCGGAGACCTGGAGGATTACCAAGGTAAATACAGATATGTTAGTGTAAGTTACAGTCAGTGTTCCTGACATTTTTCTCCGGGAGGGCACTTGATATTTGGGGGGGGGGGGGGTGGAGACACTGTTCAAGTATGTTTTATATATACATTCCATTTCGTTCGGGGGTGGGGGGTAGATTCCCCCCCCCCTCCCCTCCCGGAGATGCCTGGAAGAAACTCTGGTTACATTAGTTCACATATGTTTACAGCATAACTTTAAGACAGGATGACCAGACAAAGTATGAAATAAAGGCATGTGGCAAATCACTAAATATCAGCCAATAGACAGGGACGTTAAAGCTCGCAAATGGGGATGGGTGGGCATACCCTGAGAACGGGAGAGGATAACATCGCTAGAAAAGCTTTAGACTGGAATCCTCCGGAGATAGAGGGGGGGGGGGGGGGAGGAAAGTGGGCTGACCAAGGACATTCTGGTAGAGAACAGGATAAGAAGAGGCGAGTGCTGCTGGGCTTACGAGGGCGAAAATAAAGAGGCGAGTCCTGAAACCAAGTCCAGTGGAGAGGTGTAGCTTCAGCCTTTTGTTCCCCAGGGGCGATAAGGAATAATGAAAGAACAATAGTTGAATGAATACTAATAAAAATAAACACAATGAGTACAATATATATATTTCTTGTACTTACTTTGAGGTCATCCATTTATGACGTCCACGAAAATATCGGATTTTAGACCCCCCCCCCCTTTCCCTGTCCACTTTCGACGTCCCCCTTGCCAAGACTTTTAAATTTACTAATACTGTATAGAATTTGGTTTTAATTTTTCTAATAGGTATTGGTAGTCTATGTTTAAACGAGTATAAACATAGACAGTACATAAAATAAAACCCCTTCTTTTTCATAATCTTAACAATGTTTTCATTCCAATTATGACTTTTTAAAAAGCTGAATTACAATTCTTTTCATTTTTCACTTTCCGTAGATATAAACATTTTCTTCAGGCATCTCTACCCAGAGTTTCTTCCAGGCATCTCTTCGGAGGGGCTTCGCCCCCCCCCCCCCCCCCCCGAAAAGTTTTTACCGCCCCCCCCCCCCCGAAGGAACTGAAATTTATATAATTTATACAGAAAATATATACTTTTAACAGTGTCCGCCCCCCCCCCCCCCCGAAGAAAGTCTACCGCCCCCCCCACCGAAAATTTCAAGTGCCCCCCCCCCCCCCCCCCCCGGAGAAAAAAGTCTGGAAGAAACACTGTCTCTACCGTTTCTTCCCTTTTCACCTCTGAACGAAATAGAAAAAAGTAATTCATAAAAAAATATAGAAAAACCAGTATCCGTTACCCCCAACCCCCTCCCCACTCAAACACATCCCCCACACCCTCCTCCGGGCGGACAGTTTTAATTGCCGTTCCCCGGTAATAGATATCCAAAAGAAAAACCGGGTAGCCTATTTGGAAAGAGAAGAGAGTTCTAAGTCACCAGAATAGCCCGTGTAACGGGTACCGATGGCTAGTTACTAGTAACTTGACTTAACCGTGACGTCACGTGCAAACTTTCTATTAGGCCGATTGGGTTTTCTCAATACGTGGAATTTGGTAATCAGCATCCGGGTAAAACTATCCTGCTCAATTGATTTCACACAACGGATCTCAATCTTTAATGATAGTCTCACAACTGAAATAGTTAAAAAAAAATTCAACTAAAATTTTGAGGGGGTTGTAGGCTGAGGTGTAACGTCATTTGGGGGTAGGGGGGTCTAGCTTTTTGTGGCGATGTGTGACGGAGGGGAGGTAACAATCGACAAAAAACAAGACGTCATTTATGGATGACCCCTAAGCCGTTATTTCCCTTAATGGGGTCGTCCATAAATGACGTCACACTCGTAGGGGGAGGGGGGTCCGTAATTTTGGGACGGTGTGTGATGAGGGGGAGGGAGGGGGGGATTCAGATGGTGAGACGTCACACTTTTGCATTATAAAAAAAGCAATTTTAGAAAACGAAATTTAGACGTTATTTCGCGTTTTAGAAAACTGTTTTAATAAATTGTAAGATTTTGGAAAAATATCGATGTTTAAAAAAAATTACACTGCAATTTTGAGGGGGGGGGGGGTTGTTGGCTGAGGTGTGACGCAGAGGCGTAGAGACCCTTCCCGGCGCCCGGGGACAAACTTTTCGATTTGCAACCCCCCCCCCCCCGTCAAGGTTTCGATTTGCACCCCCCTTCAAACTTTCGATTTGCAACCCCCTCAAGATTTCGATTTGCACTCCCCCCTCAAACTATCGATTTGCACCCCCCTCAAGATTTCGATTTGCCCCCCCCCCCATCTTAAACTTTCAATTTGCATCCCCTCAACCTTTCAATTTATTTTTCCAACCCATTTTGGCGCCCCCAAAGGTCGGCGCCCGGGGACATATGTCCCCCCCCCCTCGCTACGCTACTGGTGTGACGTCATTTTAGGGGGGGGGGGTTCTGGCTTTTTGTGACGATGTGTGACGGAGGGGAGGGGGAGGTAAAAATCGTCAAAAAAGCGTTACGTCATTTATGGATGACCCATTTCTAGGAAATTGTTTTATCAACTTGAAATTTAAAAAATGATTAATAGATCTATACTAATGTTGATCAAGCGCAGTCAACATTTTAGAAAGAAATTGTTTTTAAAAAATCAACTTCAATTTTAAGTAGGGGTGGTGGAGGTTGAGGTGAGGTCATTTTAGGGTGGGGATTGGGGACTGGATTTTTATTTTAGTGGAGGGGGTTTAAAATTGTTTTAAAAGCGTGACATCAGTTATGGATGACCCCTTGACTATAAACCTACTGATAGATTAGTATTTATCAGAAACCTACAAACTAAAAAAAAAACAATAAAAAAACAATAGGCATGCAGCATGTAAATTGTATGATGCTATTGTTAAAAACTGATAAGATTCAATAATGATTGGTATTTAAAAAGACCCGCACTTCTTATTGAATTATTAATAATGTTTTACGTAAACGATAAGTATACAAAAGAAATAAAGTAAACAATAAGATTAATTCCATTTTAAAAAGTTTCCAATCTCATCTGAGAACCGCTGATACATTTTTTAAATTTTAGAACAAAAGAGTTACACAAAAATAGGCCACACAACTTGGTCGAGGTTGCTGAACTAAACATCCAATATGTTAGACTTTTTTACTATTTTCAGCAAGGGTGGGATAGTTCTTTGGTATTTTCAAGGAACATCACAGTTATTTACACCATCTGTTAATGCTTTAATAAAGACAGTGATACTCCAGGTAAAATTAGTTACAGTAGAAATTTAACTAATGGAACCGACCAACTCAACTACTGGTCCACTGGAGAAGTCATCTCTAACTGAAGTCTAACTCTAAACTCAACTACTAGATTAGATTTAGATCTAGATCTAGAATCTAGTAGTTTATCTACTAGAATAACTAGATCTAGATTCATCTAGAGTAAAGTGGCGTCTGCGGACAGTTGCCTCTGTCCGGCTCTGTGCGGACACCTTGCTGTTTTTCGCTTAAAACAATAATTGTATGAATATTTTATTAGGCATTTCGATGTCCGCCATTTTGTTTAATCTGGCCACATCCGAAATTTTTCAAGCCAACTTTTGTAATTTCTGCCATTTTCCATCCAAGTGCTTAGTTATCATGAGAGAATCGATAAATTAATGTATTCGATACGTCAAAGTGGGCTGTTTTTATATTCTATGTTTGTATGGAAAACTATTAGTTACATTTTAACATATCGATCCCAATTTTATCGAGGTATCTTAGCGAACACGTCTCATTAAACGCAGTAACCGACTTCTTTCAATTAGTATTAATTTTAGCAAGAAAGTAAAGTATAATAAGCTAGACATTAGTTGTAATGAGCATCCTAACCATTCTCAAGAACAAAAATAACAGTTTCATAGAGTTCTTTTCATTGGAACATGCTTAAAAAGCATTGGTAAATCTTGGGGGGGGTCCCGCTGACACAATTTTTTAACAGGGCGATAGGGGCCGCGAGGTTACCTATTATCGATAGAACCAAATTTCGGCATTTAAAAAAGAGATAAGTTCAGGAAACTAGATCTAGTAAATATTAAATAAGTAATGCCAAACTATTTTGATGGGTGGAAATGTTGGTTTTATGGGGCTTTTTAGCTCTTTATAACCAGATATTGCTTCTTGCGTGAAGTGAAGGGGATCTACGCAATTTTAATAATGACGGCCGAGTTTAAATTTTTATGACGGTCCATAGACCATATGCATGAAATATAAAAAATTGCACATTTGATATTACTGTTTAACACTATTCATTGAATTGGCAAGATTTTAGCTTATAGAATGTTTTTTATGGATTAAATAAAATTTAAAGCAATGGAATTAATAGTCCCATTCATTAATAATCTTCCATATTAGTCATTTTCAATTGGGTAATAATAATAGGCCTCTAATTAAAATTTTAAATAGTAATAAATAGGCCCTTATAAATATTAGGCCCCTATAGAATAGATTTAGATCTATGTATTTTAATGAGTAATTGCTTATAAGAATCTAATAGAACTAATATTTATTGCATCAAGCTTAAATATATAATTATGTTGTAAAATTACTTATGGATGATGTCTAAACTTTAGTTACCCCGTTTCAGGAAAAACTGATTAAGAAAATAATTACAAAGATTAAATTGGTCATTTCTCAGATTATAGTATATTATCTTTAAAATTTAATAATAGCTAAAATATACTACTAGATCTATAGAGGCATGGAAAGTAAAATAAATGAAGTCAAAGATAAAATAGAAACATTAACACTTCACTTTAATAATGTGATCTAAAGCAACAGTGATAGATACATTTTTTTAAAAGTCAAAAAGAAAACAGAAACAGTAACACTTTGAACAATGTGACTTAATTTTATAACTTAAACTAAGCAACAGTAATTTTTTTTAAACAGTAGGTTCAGATCAGCAAATAAGGCAGCTGTCTATCCTTCGGTTGCGACACATCTCATCTAGTTTCTGTAGGCTGTCTATTGATTAACCATCCTTGGCTACTTATTAAAAGTAGCCTATAACTAATGCTAGTAATATTTAGATATTTCAACATAATCCTAACCATATCATATTCCAATATGAGTATAATACACAGGTATTATTGATACAAGATTTCAGTGCCACCCCCATTAATTAGACTTTATTATATGTGATTGTCTTTTTCTCCTAGCATTTTTTTGACTTGTAAATTTCTATTCCCAACATCCTTAAGCATCTATGTGCTAAGTTTTATCTTTGTATCATCAATAGCAACATAGATATTCAGTATGAAAAGTGACTTGTGGCAATCATAGTAGAACGGCACTGCACTCCTTAATTGGGCTTTATTAAGTTAATTATTAGTTGTTTTCCTTTTAATTAAGCTGTATTTCACTTGCATATTCCTGTTGCCTGTACTCCCTAGCACCAATATGCAAAGTATTATCAATATATCTTTATTAACAACAGAGTTGTGCAGTTTGACAATAGACTAACGTTGCTCTCTATATAAAAACGCCATGACCCTTAATTAGTCTTAATTATTTTTGGTTTTACCTTTACTGATCTTTATTTCAATTGCATATTCCTGTTGCCTGTACTCCCTAGCACCAATATGCAAAGTATTATCAATATATCTTTATTAACAACAGAGTTGTGCAGTTTGACAATAGACTAACGTTGCTCTCTATATAAAAACGCCATGACCCTTAATTAGTCTTAATTATTTTTGGTTTTACCTTTACTGATCTTTATTTCAATTGCATATTCCTGTTGCCTGTACTCTCTAGTATCAATATGCAAAGTTTTATCATTACATGTTAAAAAATAACAACGCTATATGAACTCAAAGAAGGACACCAAGTATTTTGCAACTTTACAATAAAATATAAGCTGTTTAACATACAACTTAAAAAATTCATTAAAAAAAAACTACTGGGCCTACAGTGATAAATTTAGTGGTTTATTAAATGGCAGTTTATGGCCTTCAATATTATGTGTGTTTTATCATTCTGAGATAATTAGGCAAAATTTACCAAAATGCCTAATATTTTATAGGAAACTAATGCAAACAACACAAAGCATGTCCATTTTTAAACACATCTGAGTCCATTTCTTCTATTTCACTCAATAGGGAGATTAATTGGAATTTTTCAAAGTTGCGATGTATGACGTTTTATGGTAGGAAACCTCATCCGGATGAAGAGCACTAGTCCCCGGATTAGAGGAATAAATCGAACCAATCATAGCTTAGTTAACTGGGTTAACTATAAATAGCTTATATATATATATATAGAAAGCTATAAATATCATAGTTAAGGTTGTTTAAGCCATCTTAGAGGAAAAATTGGGGTGTCCGCATCTTTTTTGAGGGTTAACCTTTTGCGGACACTAATGAAAAATCAGAGTATATTTCTTACACTTTAAGTAAAAAGGAGCTTTAAACTAATCTTGATACTCCAGATTTATATTTAAATTAAGTCTAAATCTAGATCTATTAGTTTTTAGTGATGTTTTTAGGTTTTAAAAATATTTTTGATCATCAAACGTGTCTACTAAGCAAAAAGTGAAATAAAATCTCAACTGGGTCCTGAGTTTCTTTCAGGCATCACTTTAATTTAATTAAAACTTATTTCATATTTCTTCATATTTTTTGTTTTCCAATATATTAATATATAAAACAATCAACAACACTATTTATGTATGTAACATGTTTATTTCAATCATTTAAATAGAAACAAAATGAACAAAATATGCCTTGTCCGCATAAGGAGCAAGTGTCCGCACAGAAAATAAAATGTAAAAAAAAGTGCACTTACTGTCCGCACAGAGTCTCACCACTGAAAATGTTAATAAATTCAATGCTATGCGTATGAATACAAAATGAATCAGACGTGATTAAACTAGAAAGAATGCGGAGTGAGACGGTACTTTCGGTTTGTTTCTATGTGAAGCGGTTACTGAATGGCGCTCAATGGAAATCGGCACTTCCGTTTTTTTTTGCTACGACTGTCCGCAGACGCCACTTTACTCTATATCAGATCTAGATCTACTGATCTAGACTAGATTCTAGAGATCTAGAAGATCTTCTAGAGATCTAGATATAGATTCTAGATCTAGATCTACTTCACTCAGTTCACTGACACTGAACTGTACTAGATTCTAGATCTAACAGTACTGACTAGTTAATTACTAGTAGTAATGTGTGAAAAAGTTGCCTCATTAATAGACGTACATTGCGATATATTCTATTATTACTATTATATTATAGATGACTGAACTGAATAATAATTTAAACCAAAATAAATGGATTATCAGTAGCCTAAAGTCAAAGTGCCCTAAAGTAAAAGACAAATGAGCTTGGTTGCATTTGATGAAAACATCGCTAGTCTTTATTTATTACTGAAAAGTTTCAATACGATTGTTTAAAAACATGTAGGCCTACATCAATGAAACTTTGAAACATTTTTGTAACTTTCAAAACATAAATCCTCCTAAAAGTGTGAAATAACTACTAAAATGTAATGAGTCACCTTTTTTTCACATTACTAGTCTTGGTTGATTTTACGTACCTAAAACAATAGATTACCATATCTAGATAGATCTAGATCTAGAATACTTTGATTTTAGATTCATTTACTTATAATTCCGTTTTAGGAGGATTACAGATACCAGTGTCCGATAATGGAATCGCCTTTAAAAAAGGGGTTGGGTTGTTAGTAGTATTGTAATATCGACTAATTTTATGGTTAGAAATTAGGGTAAGGTGTATGGTAGGACCAGGGTTGGGGTTAGGGTTAGGGACAGGGTTAGCATTGACATTAGCCAGCCATATGTGTATTTAGTTAACTACCAGTAACCTAACACCCTTTTTTAAAGAAGATTCCATTATCGGACACTGCTATAAACATTCTCCCGGTGACTTATTTAAATTTGCATTTCTAGCCAGAATAAACTATGCACGTGCATTGGGAAAAAATTGTAACTTCATATGCCTGATGAGTAGCCACTTTGACAAACATCACAATGTTCAAAAGTTGAATGTCATATGCAAAGAATGCTTGTGCATGTTAAAACTTATTTGCTCTGCCTAGCCTAGGGCCTTAGGGAGGCTTGGCGGTACACAGTTTGCTCAGCATAGTAACTTAGAATTAAATTTTAGTAATTTGCAATTTTAAAATGTCACAAAAATGTTTCTTGTACCTTTTTTATCAAGTGTCATGATTTTTCTCTACAGGGTATTTTGTGCTTTTATTTGCATCCATGGTTTACTGGTATTAGGTTTATCACTAGTGATTTTACTTTCTTAATGTTTTTTATGTGACTGGGCTGTTAACCCTGCACACCTCCTGGTAGTTGTTCCTCCTGATGACTGACTAGAATATAGTTTAAATGTACCCCTACTAGAGTAGGGCTAAAAGCTGAGGCATTATAATTGTACTATTTCATAAAGATAAATATTTAAAAAAATCAACTGTTCTTTTCATTCTAGGAACGCACAGGGAATAATACATTTTCTTATGAGTCCTTGACTTTGAAGTACAAACTTGACAATGAGTTTGAACTTGTTTTTGTGGTAAATACTTTTTACTCTTAATACTTTGCCTCTTTGTCTTTACTTTTAATACTTTTATACAGAGACATATATATATATATATATATATATATATATATATATATATATATATATATATATATATATATATAGTATTATTATAATTTTATTTCCTTTTTGGTTCTATTTTTAAAATAAACAATTTTTTTTCAAATAGGTTGCCTACCAGAATATACTCCAGTTATCATATGTGGATAAATTTTTGACAGATATTCAACTAAAGTTTAGGGAACGCTACAAAACAGTCTTGCTAAATGGGTTTTTTGCAGACCAAAACTTTGGGGACTTCAGTGATCCCTTTCACAATATTCTCAAAGAAAGGGAAGAAGAAACTAAGCAGGAACAAAAATCTGGAAAGTAATGTAACACCTTGTTTAATAATTTTTGTAGCATGTTGTGACAAATAACCTTCCTCTTAGAAAAGAAACCCACAAAATTTTAATATGCTGGTTATTTGACCATGGCACATTACATAACAACAATAATGGTAACTACATCATAATCATTAACAATAATATTAACTACATTATTATAATCATTTTCCACACAATTAACATTCAAAAGGAATTAGACCAGATACAAATAAAGAAAGGACATGTGTGCTTTGCGTGTCACATATCTGTAGTGCAGGAGCATCTCTCTGCCTGTGACCGTAGACTTAACATAACCATAATTATTCAATCTCCCATGGCCACTGTTAGACTTTCTTCACTTCATGGCTATAATGGAGCACCTTTCATTATACCACATGATGACAACAACTTATTCTTTCTTCAACACCAAACTAACAAATTATTTTACGCCGATATTTCATGATGGCTTAAATTCATAACATATTTGGCTGCTCGATAACTTGAATTTTACTTCACTTAATCCTTGTGTAGTCATTCTACCTATCAAGGGATTAATGTACTGCAGAATGATTGGTTGGGCTTGAATATTCAACCAGCAGTCTTATATCGATGAAACTTGACTGGTTCATATAGTTATAGTGTTTGCTGACTATATGTTATATATCCACCAATTTGCTGCTGAGTTCTTTTAATCTACTCCACCATGTTATACTGCTTCATGTTGTTATGCTGTTCCACCATGTTATAGCTGTTTCACAGCTATGCTGTGAGAGAGTCCATCACTACCATTTCGACATCAATACATACAAATGACTTGATAGAACGATGTTAGTCAATTCTCTTATTTATTTCAGCATACTAATACATGCAACGACTTTTACAAATGATATTAAGACTTGAATACATATACAGCATCACCCCAAGACTATAAGAGCAAGACTCCTTTCAACTTTTTCCACGGCAACAACGATCCCACACACAAAAACGTCACTTTCTTGCGTTCCGCGTCACATTTTCACTCGTTCAATAAAGTTTCGCACCAGCATTCATTTGCCTATGTCATAAACATTTTAGTACTTAAAATCAATTGTAACCGCATTTAAAAATAATATCTTCATTTTATTGTGAAATAAAATTCAATTAGTATTTCAAATATATAATGGAATGATGAATTAAAAAAAAATCTTTATGTAATTTAAGGAAGATGAAAACTTTTGAAGAGTCGCTAAAATCAAAGAAAACTGTTTCCTCTATGATTGAAAATAAGAAAGATGACAAGAAACAAACAAAAGGCAAAGAGAATAAAGTTCCAAAAGGTAAAACTAACTGAAATTATCTAGATAATATTGATTTCCACTGTAAAATTTTAAATAGATTAGCTCAAAATTTTTGTAGTTTAAACTGATTTTTTGCTAACATTTTCTAGGTCAATTAAATTTTATTACCTTAACAAGTTTCTAGGTCAAGTAGACAATTACAAAAATTATCTTGGTAAATTTGATTCTCACTAAAAATGTTCTTGATAAATTATATTTTCACTGAAATAATTTTTTAGATAAATGATTATATATTTCTACTGAAATAATTTTCTAGGTAAATTAGATCCACCAGTAGAGGTAACAAAGGCCTCACCTCCATCATCACCACCTCAATTACTGCCGGTGACAACAAACGGAGATGGAATACTGGATGAAGAAACAAGAATGAAAAACCTTCAAAAACTGATGTCTAAAGGGAAAAAAAAGTCACCCGTAACAATAAAGTAAAGTTTAGTTTAGTGCTTTTAAATTTAAATTGGCGTTCTTCATAAAAGAAGATTTTTAAAATAATTTTATTTTTAAATAGTAAAAGTCCTGAAGTTGCCAAACGCAAGGGTAAGCAAGGAACCAAGTGGGAAAATGAAGGTTCTTCTAAGGATACAGCTACATTAGATTACACACCAGGAACTGAACAGGGGGAACTTGTCTTGACAAAATCAGAGGTTAGTAAGGTCTTAGATGAACTTTTTGAAAGTCCTTGCATAGTTTATCTTTGCATCTTTAGTATTCAATACTAAAACTATTCCACTTGTTCTCATGAAATACATTTTTGAATAAACAGCAAAACCAAGTTGGTACCATGAAAGGAGAATTAAAAAATATTGATGATGATGAAGAACTTGATGAAGTTGTTGATGATGATTCTGAAGAAGATGAGGTTATCCAACAAAAAACTAAATCTCCCAGGTATGGTTATTCTAGTAGAATGTAAGGAAGCTTCCTTTTCATATCCATTAACTGTTAAATAAGGAAGATAATTTACTCTGCATATCATTAACTGTTGAGTAAGGAAGATAATCCCCTCAAAATATCACTAATTGTTGAGAGACCTGCAAATTTGACCAAGCTATGACAGTTTGTCTAAGCTAACTTTATTACTGTTAAAGCTAAAAAAAATATCTCCTCATGATAATCCAGGGACCTGCAGTGCAAGCAATAAAAAATTTGATATTAAAACTAATAAATAGTTTGACTGGTTGATAATAAAACTTCTTGAAATTTATCGCCAAAATAATTTTTATGGGTATATAAAGTTATGTTACATGTTGATTATCATAATAATAGGAACTTGAACTTATTTTAGCCCAAACAAAGGAGGCATGTTCAGCATGTTTCGCAATCTTGTTGGCTCTAAAACTTTAACCAGCGAGCAGCTTGGTCCAGTTCTGGAAAAAATGAAAGACCATTTAATCTGTATGTACTAGTCTTGCGCAATTTTTTCTCATTTGTGTTTTAATAATTTAGCAAATGTTTTGTTTTAATGACAGCGATCTGTACAGTTTAGTTACTGTATCTAAACAAAGTATTATTGGGATAGCTAATGTCTTTGATTGTCTTTATCTGACAGCTAAAAATGTTGCTGCTGACATAGCAGAAAAACTGTGTCAGTCTGTAGGGGCAAAACTAGAAGGCAAAATTCTTGGAACTTTTGGCAGTAAGCATTTCTTTACTCTGTTGTTAATAATATTCAGTTGTTCTTTTTCTTTAATACAAGATATTAGACATATATTAGACATATATCTTCAGTAACAGTTTGATGTTTGTGCAGGTGTTGCATCTACTGTCAAGAACACATTACAGGAGTCTTGTGTGCAAATTCTTTCACCACGCCGTCGGGTTGATATCTTGCGTGATGCTCTGGAAGCAAAACAGCAAAAACGTCCCTATGTTATTACATTCTGTGGTGTGAATGGTGTTGGCAAGTCCACTAATTTAGCCAAGGTATTAAAAGAGTAGTTACCCATAGGTTGCAGAAATAGGTGCACAGTTCAGTTTGAACTATTTCTTGACTGTACTTTTTAAAATCATTATTATAGGTATGTTTTTGGCTGGTAGAAAATGGGCTGAGTGTATTGATTGCTGCCTGCGACACGTTTAGATCAGGAGCTGTTGAGCAGCTGCGTACTCATGTAAGAAAATTGAATGCACTGCATCCTAAAGATAAACATGGAAGAGAGATGGTTCAGCTCTATGAAAGAGGTTATGGCAAAGACTCTGCTGGGATTGCGATGGAGGCTGTATCATCAGGTTTGGCTGTGCAGAGCTAGCAATAAGTTTAAAGAACTGTATTGGTCTTGTATTTAGGAATAGTTTGTCAATTTTAGCTTGGATTTATTTTGTTATTTTTATTTCAGCCCGTGATTATCACATTGATATTGTTCTTATTGATACTGCTGGAAGAATGCAGGACAATGAACCTTTAATGAGGGCTTTGAGTAAGGTAAAGATATTTTCCTTTTTTTTTGAGTTTATTTATGTGAGAAACCTAAAAAATAGAATTTAGATATTTTAATTAAAATAAAACATGCTAATATTGCTTATGTTATCAATTTTTTTATTGTTATTCATGTACAGCACTGATTGATTATGCATTTTATGTTCAGCTATTGGATACACTATGCATTACTCTACCCTTGTAATATGTTTCAGCTTGTAAAAGTCAACCAGCCAGATCTGGTCTTGTTTGTTGGAGAAGCCTTGGTTGGCAATGAAGCTGTTGACCAGCTCTTGAAGTTCAACCAGGCATTGGCTGACCATTCCCAGTCTGCTAACCCTAGGCTCATTGATGGGATTATTCTAACCAAATTTGATACCATTGATGATAAGGTACATATATACTTATGTTGTAATTCTTTTAAAGTCATTTCATTATAAAAATTGTCCTCAAAGTTATTATTTTAATTTAATTTTTTTAGGTTGGTGCAGCAATTTCCATGACCTACACTACTGGACAGCCCATTGTCTTTGTAGGAACTGGCCAGACATACAGTGACCTTCGTAATTTGAATGCCAAGGCTGTGGTATCTGCCTTGCTGAAGCCATAAAAATGTCTGGTTTTTTTAAAGTGATACTCAACCATATTTTACATTTAATTGGGAGCTGAATTGATATACAAGGAATCAGAATTTGTGACCATAAAATACATTTTTAAGCCTCAAAATGAAACAATTTCTGTAATTTTGTAACATTTTATAAAGTTTCAATATACTTTTATGTAGTGCTTGTAAGCTTTCTTTACACCATTTACATCCTGTGATAAAACCATTCTGTTTTAAGCAGCTCCTATGTAGAAATAAAAAAAAAAATAAACAACCAGCATAGTTTTTTAAAGTTAAACTTTGAAATTTTATAATTGCTTTGAAATCTTTTATTTGTTTAATTGATTATACTATAATGATAAGAACTTTTTCAAAACTACTAAACATGAATACCAACTAGGACAAATTATTTATAGATCAAATGTTTCAACCACTTTCTAGTCACATTCTTATAATTAAAATTAAAACAATTATTATAAAGAATCGATAAATCTACTGAAAACTTTAAGTAGCATAAATGCCAATTATTCACTTTATTTGCTCTTTCCTTAAATATGAATACAAGAATGTTATTTTTTAAAAATTCTATCATTCTTAATTTGTTTTTTTTTTTCTGATTGAATTAATCTTCATCCAGAATCCCACCTTTACTTTATTCTATTTTTAAATGAATTGATACATAAATTGTGCAGACATGTTAGTTTTTTTCTGAAACCCTTTTGAGCTTAGCAATGATGTGTATCAAATGTTTTAGTCTCAGCTACTGTAACTCTATTTACCAAAAGTTTCAGTGCCGAAGTGGATATTGTTTTCATCTGGCTGTCATTAATTAATGTAATAATTTACATGCTGTTCTTTTTTCCTATAGAAATTATCAGTTAATAGGTATTCTTTTTACTTTATTGACTGAGAAGAATTATTAATGTAAATTATAGTGCAGTTTAATATCCCATTAACTCTTCATATATATATATATACATTTTTTAATGTGCCTACTCAGTTATAAACGATACCAAGAACTTACCAAGTATTTACCATTTTGGCCTATAGTAACTTTGAAATAAATAGTTATTCTACATTCTAATAAACACAAATAATAATTGATCTTGTTACAGGAAATATGTCATTAGAACAATATTGCCACATTTACTGAGAAATCATTTGTTCATTTTTAAATACTGTTTTTGTTGTTTTTAGTCACACCATTTGGGTGTGAAATGTTGATTATAATTTATTAATGCTGTTGTATTATTGAACATGTGATTGAAATGGTGTAAGAAGGAACAACTGCTCTATAGTCCTTAATATCAAATGTGTTTTCTAGTATTTTGTTTGAAGATATAATTTATGATCATGCATACATTAAGGGAGGGGATTTTTTTTTTAATTTGGAAAAAATGTTTATACTGGGTGGATGGATTTTGTTCTCAATTCAATAAATGTAACAATAAAAGCAGTTGTATTTTGTCATGTTTCTTTAGTGAAGTTTATATTTACATAAACATAGGGACATGTTTAGAAATGCGCTATGGCTATCCAAAATGCAGAATTATAGACTCTGGTTAAGGATGTATGCACAATGAAGCAGGAAACATATTTGAGTAGGTTGCTTGCTTTACATAATGTTTCTGCGTAACTAACACTTAACCTTAATCATATGGCACAAGTTTAATAGTGTAAGTATAACATCCCTTAGCCCACCCAGTTGTGAAGGGTACCTGGATCATGCAATAAAAACTTAGATGTCAAAAAAACAAAAAAAAACCACCCATCTATATATGCCCAATAGGATGTCAAAAAGGAAAGTACCTTTTACTGAACAGGCTTGATTAAATTATCTCACACATAATAATCATTAAAAAAGTTTTAAAAAACCCACGTTTTCTGATTGAACTAAAAAGTAGAAAATAAATACTATACATCACAATAATGCAAGCGATCACTCTACTATAAGCGATGAAAAACGTGGGGCGCCGAAGTAAAAGTTATATTACTATTGATTAGATAATACTATTGACTTTTATTAGGGAGCTTGTAGAGAGTCGACAGTATTAGAAACTGTAAGAAAATCACGGCACCCCACGTTTTTGATCGCTTATAGTAGAGTGATCGCTTGCATTATTGTGATGTATAGTATTTATTTTCTACTTTTTAGTTCAATCAGAAAACGTGGGTTTTTTAAAACTTTTTTAATGATTATTATTTTCTACTTTTTAGTCTTTGTCTGTTTGTTTGCATTAAAATCTTGCTATCGATTTTATCTTTTCACTTTTTTTGGGTAAACGAAGACAACTCGTAAAAAGACAACTCGTAAAAAGACAACTCGTAAAAAGACAACTCGTAAAAAGACAACTCGTAAAAAACACGTTGTTTGAATACGTTACTGACTAGAACACATAGATTTGAACCCGTGTCGAGTGGGATAGCAATCGTGTGCCCAACCACTCGACCATATCGTCTCCCCCAAACTGGACTACCTCCTGTAAGTTTAAACTCGGTTCAAGCTAAATTCTCTGCCCCTAAGCCTGTGGCGACATGTGATCGTTCGCTTCACTGCGCGCGAGGTACGCGTCGCTGGTTTTTTTCTAATGGCTAGCAGAGGAGAATTATATATATAGATTATATAGCGGTCTAAAATGCTCAATAAAATGTTTCCATTGATCAATTTAGTAATAATAACAATTGAATATTCAATGGTCATCCAAAAGAAAGCTTCCCTGAAAATTTCAGCGCGCTAGCTATCTGGGAAGTGCCAGAAATTTCGATCGCAAGATTTGATTGGAAAGACAAACAAACAGAGAAAGCAAGTTAAAGAAAACGTGGGAAAAAATGACTTGGAAGTATTTTTGTTGCATTATGTACATATATTAATTCAAGCACTTATTTTGGCATTTCAGGGTTAGCAAAGGAAAACCAAAATCTTTTTTTTTTTTTTTTTTTAAAAAGTCCAGTCATCCATTTTATTTACAAATAAAAAAATAAACACATTTATACATAGTACCATAAAAAGCATATTATATAAAAAATACTTATAAATTATTACTGTTGAAGAACACAGGGATACATTATTATGTTGTTGCGTATGACACTGAGGTTGTAGGTTTTCCTGAACAATTATTTTAACTGTAAACAAAACCTCAGCCCAGAGAATCATTGAACAACAGATAAACATCTAAGCACCTAATTTAAAGAGAAAAAGTTTTGGCACATCCACCCAAACATGTATTGATCAGATTTCAAATCATGAGTTAAATAATCCAATGCTTAATAATCATTTGACTATTTTGATCAGTCACTATTGTGACACTTCCAAACTTGTAATATGTAGCAGCCTTTAACAATTGTTTATACCTGATAAAAAAAAAAACTACATTTAACAGGACAAAACTTGACTACTTTTTAGCACTACAGTGACATTTTATGCCATTGTTCTGGTCATCAAGAACCATACATATCTTACAGGAGACATAACCAAGTATAGCCTACAATGTTTCAGAGAATTTACAAAAGGCCAAATCTAGATTTAAAATGAAAAAAATATCTAGAACTATAATAAAAAAATAACTTACTCAAGGATCAATCACACTTTGAAGGAATTCAGTGATAAAAAATGAAAATTGTTTAACGTAAACCAGAAGTAAAGCAATTACTACAGAAGTTTATCCTACACTAGATAATCTAAACAAATGAATGCTTTGGGAATAAATACAATTAATTTTTTTTATCTTACAAGTAATTTTATTTAGCAGAAAACCGGTATATTTTTTCAAGTGGAATGTGTTTTTTTTCTTTCTGGGAAATCATTAAGGGAACTACACTAGATGGTGACTGAAATATTGCACTTCAAATAAAAGAGTAGATTTGATTTGGTGCTCCATTTCAATTCTTCCTTGTTAAAAGTAAGAAGTTACAATGAATATTGTACTTACAATAAACATAATTTTCTAGCTTAGGATCATAAACACAGTAATCAATCTAAGGGTATTTTGAAAAAAAAAACCTTCATAATTACAAGCTTTTAAATGCAGTAAAAAAAAAGAAAATAAACATACATTTCCTTAAAAGCTACAATAGTAAAAGCATATACTGAAATGTATTTCATCTAGATATTAAAATAAAATAGGTCAATATAAAATCAGCACAGCATTCGTTTTAGCTGATATAAAATTTCAAATTGTATTTAAAATGTGTATTGTTAAATTTTTGAGTAGCACAAATTAGTTTTTTATGAAGTGGGGTTTTCAGAATATCGATTACGGACTTCCTGTACAGCCAGTTAATGTTTGTATCATGAAAATAAAACCTCAGATTAAAACCTAGGCTTGATGAAAATTAATTGAGCAATAGCATGGGTCAGCAACCTTTCGAGGCAGGAGAGCCATGAGTTATAATTTTAAAAATTTCCCAGTTTTTAAAGAGCCACTAACATTTTTATTTCAATATTTGGTATTTGATTAGGATTAGGTAAATATATTTAAAATAAATAGGTTTAGGCTCGTAAGTATTAAATAATGTTTATTTATTTAGCACAAAACATGTGAAAGTATTTTAGCTATCTCAGCTAGTATTAAAAAAACCAAATTATATAGCTATAGCACCATCCCTACCCAATTTAGAAGCTAATAACTAAAAAGCTAGGTCACTCAGGTCAAACTTTTGAATGGTGACATAAAGAAATCTAATCTCAATAAAATAACATTCACTATTGAACGATATTTGAAAACAAAGTGTAAACATCGGAAGTGGAAAGCATGGAACCATTGCCAATGGGGCTGACCCCAGCACAGCTGTGGGGCTGGGCATAGTGCCCAAGCAGCTGTCAGTAGAGTCAGTATACGCTCTACTGTTTTGATCTTGTTTGAAGGTGTTTTTTTTTAAAAGTATAACATTTGTTATGAGTTTTCAAAATGAAATAATATAATTATTCCTATTAGTGCATGGTTTAAGTTTTTAAAATAAAATGTTTTTTACTGTCACTTGGATGGCAAAATCTAAAAAAAAAAAAACCAAATTTATTATCCATGTCCACAATAATGATCAAACCCTAATCGACAAACCGCTTCCATTAGTGCTTGTTGTAGATTTGCGATTTTTCAACTATATACAAATTACAAATCCTTAGTTATCTCCCCTTTTGTTTTTGCATTTTGTAATCTTTAAAATTTTAATGATGAACTTAATATAGATCTATATATGATTCAGTAAAGAGCTAGATATTCTTGCTTTTCATTTGTGAAATGTGAAAGAATTTGCAAAGTAGAATTGGGTCAAAATTTAGTTAAAAGTTTGAGCACACCCAACAAACTAAAATATAAATTAAAAAATTATTATTAGTAACCTAAAACCATGAAAATCAACCAAGAGTAAAGACCAAAACTGGTTGGTTGATATAAATGAATCACTGGTGATAATAGGATTATCACAGTTCTAAACATAGGACATATAAGGGGCATAAATTACATAGCACATCAGTTCATTCATGGCAAATTCGAATGTACATCTAACTATTCACATTTCATTTAGTAATAATTACAGATTGGAATCTCAGGAGTAAATATACACACCATGGATGAAATGAAGAAACACATTATGTAGAACATGAATATAAGATAGACAAGAATAAATAGAAGACCAGAAAGAGAAGATGCTTAGTCAAGTCTGTACATTAGGATAAAAGTATACATCAATTTAACTTTGAAAGATAAATCTGACAATAATGAAACTTAAGTTCATGGAATAATTGATTGTTCAATTACTGCAATACTTTGTAAATGTTTCGTCAAATATCTAGAAAATAATATTTTTACATAATTTTTTAATGTACTGATTTGCTAACATTTCTTACCTTTTTTTATTCTAAAAAGAACATTATTTACAAAATAAAATTGCTGCCATAACTGAATAAAAAAAACAACAACTATAAAATATTAAGTCATATGCCAAATTTTTTTTGAAAATCCAACAGAAAACAACTATGTTTAAAGTAGGAATTCTTAAAAATATAATGATGCATAATAATAAATAAAAGATCCCTCAAGTTACAATTTTAAAAATTAATAGACATTGCCTAATAATATGAAAAAGTGTATTTCTTAATATATGAGAGTAACTACTTCTTACAAAATATAGCAATTATTTTGAGCATATTATCATCATAAAAAAGCACCTATATGATACAATGATGAAGAATGATAAATAGCAGAGCATGGGAATGGCTTGTAGAAATCTGTGCATTGCTGGCTAGTAAAGATCATACGTTGTACAAGATAGCATCTTGTGGGTCCCTTTGTCTGCCCGTCTGGAATGGCCACAGCCACAATAGTGGATGACCTGGTTTGATCATAAGTAAACAAAGGATAAAATACAGTATTCAAATCTGTCTATGTTATTTCTGTGTACTTTGAGTTATTAAAAGGAAAAGATTATTCCACATAATCTTTCTTTGGTAGTGCTGGTGTCTATTGAACACATACCTCTTCCAAATACTTCTTGAAGCAAAACAAGTCTTGACTTTTTACCCCGGTATGAGCCTTCCTTTTTGACATGTTCAACAGCGGTTTCATCATTTAGTATAGCTGATAACTGAAAGTAAATGTAAGAGATCATGGGACAGTAAGGTTGTGTGTATTTTTAGCTAACCTAAGTCTCAACTTTGATGACCAGACTTTACTCTAACCCCCAATGCTGTTTTCTACCTTTTCAAAACTTAGTCTCTGGCGGACATTGGTCATGCAAAAACCAAAGTGTATTGGGTTTAAACATCAATTATACTTGTCTTTAGTTTGTGAGAATACTGACACTACCTGTTTTCATTAATAGGCATTTCCTATGGACTTAGTTTGGCTACCAAACTTGAGATTGGGAACCAAACTTGAGACTTACAGGTTTCAAATGATAAAATGCATTGCAATGAGCTTCTTGCGGTTATTTACATTATCAATAAAAATATAATTAAATGACTTGTAAACCAATACAAAAGCAAGGTGCGGTATGTTTTACTGGTAACTATCACATAAAGGAAAGAACATTTTCATCGCTGGAAAAAAGTGAATGCAACCAAATGTCTACTCCAAACACTTTACAATATTATGCATACTAAATTAATTTCTAATAGACTAGTCTCTAATAAAGATATTTTTAGTGTGAACTATTTTCACACTATCTATAAAATTGTTACACATCTTTGCAAAAATTGTTTTGGGGAAAACGAAAATAACCTTACCTGGTCACAACCAATGGCAATGACAAAAAGGCCAAATAAAATGCTTTCTATTACAAGTATCACAGAATGGACTCTAAAAATAGACAAATATAATGGCAGGTCATTTTATTTGTAGATATCATAAGAGAAAATAAAGCATGATAAGTTTTTTAAAACCAAAATAAGTGATCATTGAATTAAATGGGGTTAGATAGTTTTTACTTACAGCTTAACATGTTTAATTTCTTTTCTGACTTTTGTCTCTATTGTCCAGGAAACAATCACCATTGTTATTGCAAAAACACTGGCCAATCCTGAAATTTTTTTTCTATTCAGAATTAATCAAATAAAATAGATTTTCAAAAAATTTTAATAACTTAAACACAAAAAAAAAATGCAACCAAATATCTGATAAAATCTATAGTTGTAAACTTACCAACATAAAATAAAAACTGAATAAAAAATCTTTGGTTGTATTCACCAACACAATTGTTTATCCTGAAAACACAACAGGTTGTTTGAAAGTATAAAACAATAGATTTCTTATTTTATTTTTAAACCCATGCAAAAATGGATTTGAAATATTCAACTTTAGGCAACAACATCAGTATAAGGGATGTATGTTATTTAGTTAAAACAAATGAAGTGAAAACAAAACATCATTCATGTAATTACCAAGGGCAGTGATGATCCATACGCCTGACACACCTGCGACAGACCCTACAGTGATGGGCTCTAGGTGGACGATAAGTCTCACACTTCATACACACTGTCCATCCATCATTCTATATAAGAGAATACAAAACTTTACATACTTAAGAGGAAAATAATTTCCCAGCAATGTGCATTAGCTATATAATGAAAGTAAGTAAGTGAACTAACTGTTTTTCTTTTAGATGTATCTGAATGAATATCAGAAAAATCCATATTTGTTTTTGGTATTGGAACAATTCCAGGATCAGACATGACTGCACGAAGATGTGAAACAGTCAGTAGGAACACTATAGTATTGAAAAACACCACACACACTGCACCCCATAACCTGAAAGAAATTAATGAACCAAATTATAAGATGAATACTTTGTATAGGTAAATGTGCTCAAATTTAATAGAAATAAATATATCTGAATATAACTTTCTGTAATCAATTAACTAGGCATAATTTATTTATGAAAACAATAATACTTACATTTTTTTTACGAATTTTTATTTTTAATAATTTTGTTGAAATTTGAGAAAAATCCAAATTTAATATAATAAATGTGCCTTATTTAACTGTTTATTTTACACTTGAAAATTATGTTTGTGCTAAGACTTATGTGAACTCACGATTCCAGGCTATGATGTATGCTGATATCTAAACCAATGTGAACTTACATTGACCCCTCAACTGTGTAGGGTTGATGATGTTTAGAATTAGTGCAAGACCATAATTCTAAAAATGTTTTGTCGTTTTTCTCTCATTATTTAATTGAAGTTGTGTAACACTAAAATTATATTGACAGTTTTGCAGTTATGTTTTGTTATGTTGTGCTCTTGTGAGTGATGGTTACCAGTTTTTCCATGTCATGTGACCTGTGAGATTCTGGGTAGTTTCTGACATTACACGATAGCAGTATTGCATAAAGCGTCGGGGGGGGGGGGGGGGGGGGGGGGGGAGGGGGGATCATGATCCAGTGTACTGATAGTCATTAGTCAATGAAAGATAATAGCAAGTATAGACCTAATAAAGGTAATGGCAAAAAATCATTTATAGTATGCATTTTGTGACTATTTATGTTGGCAATAGGTATTGGTAACAAAGGTATACCTTTATATGCAGTATTTCTATTAGTGTGAGACAATGACTGCAGTATAATTTTTGCCAGTCATTAGTGCTGTACAGTATGTCATTATTATGCCTGTCTTAATTCGCTGAAGATTTTAACTGGCATGGTTATTGTTTGCATATTTACTTGTACTGCAAGATCCAGTCATGTAAATCAATTTTGATACTGGCTTGTCACATTGTGATTGTGGGCCTGACATGTATTGGCTACAAAATATATTCAAGTATTTGTAATTTTTAAGTGTGATATTGGCAAGTGTGTAACCTACTGATTCTTTTTAGTTTTTAGGGTTATATGTCATGTCATTTATATCATTCAAGTCAGTCAACTACATTAATAATTTAATAGTGGTCGTAATAAAAGTTCAAGGGTATAATAATATAATACTATAACTTAGTATAGGTGCAGTATCGTTTGTGTTGTGACTGTTGTCTCTCAGTGAGGCCCTGAGGGTCAGCCCAACTAAACCTCAGCCTCAGTGGTAGACCATCACATCATCACACACTATTCACTTCACTTGACTTCACTATTCCCACTAATGACTAAGGCAGTGTTACACGGACAAAACATTTTAGTTCTTTTTTTTTCTATTAACTGTACCGTTACGCTGTTCTAGATTCTAATTAAAACACAAATTGGATGATTATAGATACCAGTGTCCGATAATGGAATCTTCTTTAAAAAATGGGTGTTGGGTTGTTAGTGTAGTATTGTAATCTCGACTAATTTTATGGTTAGAAATTAGGGTTAGGCGTATGGTTGGACCAGGGTTGGGGTTAGGGTTAGGGACAGGGTTAGCATTGACATAGGCATGCCATGTGTGTATTTAGTTAACTACAAGTAACCTAACACCCCTTTTTTGAAGAAGATTCCATTATCAGACACCGGTGTAAACATTCTCCCCACAAATTTATTAAAAAAAGAAAAACAAAAAAAAACTAAATTGGTGTTTTCTGCATTTTCTGTGTTTTGGTTGTGTTTTAATAAAAAAAAAATACTTTCAGCTGGAGGTGAACAAGAAGTGACTAACATCAACTAGATCTAGATCTAGGCCGATTGATATGATATCAGACTTACGATTCGGTCATTGAGGGTATCACAAGATGCCTAACAACAACATAGTCTGCATAGAATACAGCAACATAAGTAATAATAATGCAAATTATTCCACAAGGATCGAGCCGACAGACGGCCATCTTTGGTAGTTTGTAACAACGGAATGTTATAAGATGGACTGGATAACATTCATTCAATAAAAATACTGTCCGGATTCTAGATTATAGCCAGGTGTTCGACAGCTTGCAGCTCTGAACAGAGAATAATTAAATCTAGTCTTAGTTTTCCCACTTACAGTTGAGTATTTTTTGTTTAAAGTATTACATTTTTTTAAAGTAACGCCCCTAGGTCTAAATTATGAAAAACAAAAAGGATAGTAAAACGTAGATCTAGGCCTAACTAGGTTTAAGAACCACACATGTAACGTCCGTATCAGTGGCGTAGCCAGGATCGTCTCATGGGGGGGGTTCCAATTTTTTTCCAGCATTTTATATATATATATATATATATATATATATATATATATATATATATATATATATATATATATATATATATATATCAGTAGCGTACGCAGGGGGGGGGGAGCAGGGGGAGCGGCCGCTCCCCCTCTGGCCATTTTCAGCAAAGTGGCGCCTTTTGGAAACTTTTTAAACTCAAAGTTTTAAACAATGATAATTGTTAAAAAATATTTTCGGTCGGCACATTTATGTAAATCACAAGATTTCTTTTCATGCAGCAATAAAGCATTATTGTACTAGTCTAGTAGTCAGGGGCGGAACTACCATAACGCCAGACCCCGCAATGCGGGGGGGCCCAGGACGTTTAGGGGCTCAGTTCCTACCAAAAAACATTGAATTTTTTTTTCAAAAATTATGTTTTTCATGCATCTTGAAAGTGGTTTTGTAAAAAAAAAACAGATCTACTATAGCAGAGATTGTTGCGTAGAAAAATATTTTAAAATCTACAAGAGCTATAGTTTGAAAGGTAGGTAAACATTCACACTACTTCCATGACTTACTGCCCTTCTTTAAAATAGGGATGCCCACGAAGCTCATTTAAATAGTTTTGAACTATGTATATTAAAAAGCAATTGATTCTCTGAATTGCTACTTAAATAAAACGTACTATACAATAATATAGATATAAAAATCAATGTTTTCAAAATTGATATTATAAAAGCCAAAAATGAAAAAAAATAAACATAACGCGAAAAACCATTCACGAATCAAGCTAACGTCCTTATATATTTTTGACCAGCATTTAAATGAAGTCTCGGTATAGCTCAGGGGTCGGCAACCTGCGGCTCTCCAGCTCCTTGAACAAATACTAATAATCTTAATAAAAATATAAGATATTTGAAATTAAAAAAAAATGTTAGTGGCTCTTTTAAACCAGGGAAATTTTGAAAATTGTAACTTTTGGCTCTTCCGCTTCAAAAGGTTGCCGACCCCTGGTATAGCTAGATAAGTTTGGACTAAATTTTTTCTGGTTTGTTCTCTCAGAATGGTTATTTATTGCAATGAAGTAGACTAAATTACTCAGTTAGGATATATTTATAAATAAATAAATAAATAAATATATATATATATATATATATATATATATATATATATATATATATATATATATATACATATATTTATATATATATATATAGGGGGCCCTAATCTTTTCTTTGCGGGGGAGCCTTTTTTTTCTAGTTCCGCCACTGCTAGTAGTGTCTACGTTTACAACACGTATTAACAGCTGCATCAGTTTGCCATTCTAAAAATAACCATTACGATGCATTGCAATGTTTAAAAAACCTTTACGGGTAGTACCACTTGGCAAGAGGGGTGTTAAGTTTAAGGCAACTGTATAATGTATTTGCTTACGAATAATTGAATTAGAAAATGTTATACATAAATCTTCACACATAATTACTTTATATATACAGTTTGAACCGTATGATTAATTTTTTAAAAAAATTACAATACAGAAACAAATACAACTGATGTAGCACCTCTATTTAAATTTACTTATGAGTAAACTGCGGAGTGGTGGGGAAATTTTGACAAGGTCAACAACGTCATCACGATGAATTAGTAGTATTATGAGAGTTTGGGCAATAGTGATTACGATTACAAATTCTATGAAACAGTTACAACCCCCCCTCCCCCATGGACCTCTCTTTAAAAAACATATTGTCATAATACCACTGCTACTTATTTAAATCTATTTCTGTAATATATATTTGTGTAATATATATGTATGTTTAGAACAGTCATCTAAAAACTGACGATATGTTCAATCTGAGTTGGTTATCTCCCCCCCCCCCCCCCCCCACACCTCACCACCACAATTGTGTAGAGCGACATTAATGTCACACCTAGGTATACATTGACCTAAAGTGACCGGACAGTGGTGAATGAAGTTGAACCCCCCCCCCCCCCCCCAACCCACCCTGAACTGATCTGTTACGTACAAGTAGAAAAACGCGTAATGATGTACCATAGTATCATGCCGCCAGAAAATTAGCTTCTTAAACGTAAAACTCTGTGAATATTGTTTTTGAAATTACCAGTAAAAAGGTGTGTGATCAATACTGTGATCTAACTATGTTAAAAAT